GAACCTTAACTATTAACAACAATGTATCTTATTTGTGTATCACTCGGCTGTAGATCCTCCAATCATCTCTGAATTGGTGCTGACACTGTCCTTCCTTCTGGAGGGGGGCTACTTCTGTTCCCCCATGGTCCCTGTGTGTGTTTTAAAGTAGTCACCGCTCCAAGCTCGCTCCCGGGATGGACTACAATCTCAATACAAAATTAGTAAACTAAACATGAGATTGTAGTCCATCCCGGGAGTGAGCTTGGAGCGGTGACTACTTCACAACAAACACAGGGACCATGGGGAACAAAAGTAGCCCCCCTCCAGAAGGAAGGATAGTGTCAGCACCAATTCAGAGATGATTGGAGGATCTACAGCCGAGTGATACACAAATAAGATACATTGTTGTTCATAGTTAAAGGAGAACTATGGGGTTAGGGCTTTTCCCCATAGTTCTCCTTTTCCCCATAGTTCTCCCCAAGCATGAGAAGACATGAGGATTTAAAAGGAAGAGCAGCAAAGAGAAGGGAAACTACCATGGATTACAGTAAGGCGCACATTACAGTATTGGTTTATGTTAAACAATCTGAGGGTTTAATGTCACTTTAACTATTTCCTACTGTATCCAAATTAAAAAAAAAATGTTTGGCTTTTGGTATAAATTATGTCGCAGTAAAATGAAAGCGCCGAGGTGTAAATAATGGACAGGAAGGAGTGTTTTTCTTTGTACAGGTCCCCAGCGGGAAAGGGTTAAGCACGGGTCAGAGAAACCTAAATGGGTTTGCAGCAGGTCACGCAAGAACGTGTCACACTCGAAAATGCTGCCCACTTCAAAGGCGAGCCCGTGAACCACAAAACCACGCCCCACTTTCATCGCCCGTGTTGTAGACCGCAATATAACCCCCACCCCCACCCCCTTCCACATGCTGCTCCAGCGCATGGAAATTGGTTCTGCAGACGTGAAGTGAGGGGAAGCCTGAGAGTAAATAAAATATGTCAGGGAATAAATTGCAGACAGGAAATGTATCAGAGGCCTCGGCTTTGATCAGGGGAACGCATGACGTGGAGGGATCGCTGGCTATTTTTGGCTGGATTCTCGTTTCATCTGCAGGGACTTGGCCTAGGCTTTGATCTTGTGTCCATGAATACAATAAAATGGCCAGTGGGCCCCGGGGAAGGGGGGGTACAATGAGGTGCCATGTATCTTTGTAATGTGAGAAAGAGACACATTGCAGCTACGTGGGAGTCAGGTCCCCAGGAAAAGACAATTTCAGGTCATGCACTCTTCTGGTGGTGGTTTCACAAGTGTTCAAAAGTGCGACGATTTTTGTAACAGTTTGGTTTGCTTATTTTTGAACATGCTCTTGTACGTAGGGATGAGATTCGGGTTTGGGTCAACCATGTGTCCAGCCAGAACCCAATCCATCTGCAGTTCACCAAAAGGGTGAACGATTTGGCCAGAATGCCCATTCTCCAAACCTCCTTCTATGTCCCAGCAACCAATGGTGCTGTGTGTGGGCCGCACACCATTATTGGTTGTTAGGCTGTGTCCTAGCAACCAATGACCCAATTCAATGCTGTGCTCTAGCAACCAATGATAGGAAGTGTCATAACAATCAATGATGCTGTAAGACCTCCAGCATCTGAGCAGCCAGTTACACTGTGCGGCCCAGCCACCAATGAGGCTGTACTGATCATAATGCGTCATTGGTTGCTAAGGTGCTGGCGGCCAAACAGCATAATTGCTTGTTACGCCGCATCCTAACAACCAATGACCCAAACCAATGCTGGGAACCATGCAGAAACTGTGCAGCCCAGCCACCAGTCAACCAATGAGACTGTATGAGTCATTGGTTGCTAAGAGACTGGAGGCCTTACAGCATCATTGGTTGTTATGTTGCATCCTAGCAACCAATGACACTGTGAGGTCCAACCACCAGTCAACCAATAACGCTGTACGGATCACACTGTATCATTGGTTGCTAATATATTGTCAGCCTCACAGAATCATAGGTTGTTATTTTAGCAACCAATGACCCAATCCAATGCTGCGACCTAGCAACCAATGATACTGTGTGGCCCAGCCACCAGTCAACCATTGAGGCTGTACATGTCACACTGCATCATTGGTTGCTAATATGCTGGAGAGCATCATTGGTTGTTATGCTGCCTTCTAGCAACCAATGATCTAATCCAATGCTGTGACCAAGCAACCAGTGACACTGTGCGGCCCAGCCACCAGTCAACCAATGAGGTTGTACTGGTCACAATGTGTCATTGGTTACTACAATGCAGGTGGCCTCACAGCATCATTGGCTATTATGCTGTATCCTAGCAACCAATGACCCAATCCAAAGCTGTAAACTAGCAACCAATGACACTGTGCGGCCCAGCCACCAGTCAACCACTGAGACTGTATGGGTCATTGGTTGCTAGGACACAGACGGCCATGGGTTTGATTTTCATTGGACCTTCCCGGAAACCGGATTTCTGGTTGGGTTTGGCAAACATCCATGTGAACTGAACCTAGGCCAGTTCACTCATCACTACTTGTACTTTAGAACTTTAGATGACATTTTCTACATTTTTGGAAAGCTTTGGAAGGATGAAGAAGAGTCAGGTTACTTTTGCTATGTGTGTCCTCACTAGGGAAATTTCCCCTCACTTCCTGTCCCAGGTTCACTCTTGTTGTCATGGTGTGCCTAATAGGGTTGTCACTTGGCCTTCCCAGTCTAAATGGGACATGTTTCCAATCTTATTAATAAGGAAGAGACAACATATTTGATATATTTTCCCATAAAAGGCGGCAACCCTAGTGATAAGTGCATCCCGCCCCTTTGTTTGTGTTCAGCTGCAGGCGGCTAGTTCCTCAGGCGGCAGAGGACAGAGCTTCCTTCCAAGTTCAAAGGAGCTTAATTTTGGACCCGGGTTGGTCCAAACTTGAGTTCATCAGCAACTACTGGAGCCAACAGATCAGTATGACAACCAGAAAAATAGCAATGGCCGTCTTCGCATTTCTCCCAGTGCAGGTCTCCTTTATTGATACCCTTTTGTTTTTCCACAGGATAGTTTGAGACCGCAGTGTTTGAAACCCCCCCCCATCTGAGTGTCCAGAGGGCATGTAGGCGTTCCGATTCCCGTCACCTGCGCCATTTCAGCTTGCTGCGGAGCGCTCATCCTCCGGCCCAGCAATAATGTCTGAGAGAGAGAAGGGCATAATTAGTTTAATGGGGCCGAGGCAGACCCAGAGAGCTTCGTAGCTCAAGGCTCTTGTAGATAAAAGGTGGAGATGTCTGTGAAACGTCAGGAAGGGACAGGTAGAAATGCGGGAATGACACTGAAAACCTCCCCACTGACTGCGGACGGAGGCTGGCAGTGACCTCACCCCATTCATCTCTCATTTGTTCGCAGTCATATCTAGTGACTTGTAAACAATGCCTCAATTCCCCCAGCCAGGTGCTAGTCTTTATGCCAGATAATACTCTAAAGGTGACACGTACGAGCCGCCCGTCAATCATGAACTTCGTACAGAGTCGTAGACTGTTATGTTAAAGAGAACCTGTCACCAACTTTTTAATTCACTTGCAATGTACTTTGCTGGAAAATTTGATTAATCGGTTCCTTAGCACAGTGAGTCCCCATCCCTTCATGCACATCATAACCCTTTCCTCTTCTGGAAGTGTCTTATTACTGTCTGTGCTGGCCCATATCTTCTGCCCCTCCCCTCATCTCATATATGTAACTGTTGGGGGAATACTATAGAGAAGGGGTAGGCAACCTCAGCACTCTAGCTGTTGTGCAGTGGCGGAACTACCAGGGTCGCAGAGGTCGCGGCCGCGACCAGGCCCTGGAGTTCCGCCACTTGGAGGGGGCCCAGGACAGGAGGAAGGGGCCCCTGGTAACCGCTGATTACCAGGATATTTATTATCCTGGTAACCGCTAATGTCATTCCCAGGACCTCTTCCTCCTGTCCTGGGCACTACATGCTTCACGCTGCTCCCCTCACCTGGTTGGGGGCGCAGCGTGAAGTATCATCCAGTTGGGCAGCAGCCAATGAGTGGGAGCGGTGTAATCCCCGCCCCCTCATCACACAGAACTGCTGCCCAGTGCCGAATAGAGCTCCTGCGGACACGAAGGGGGTGACAGGGAGCTGGAAGTATGAAGGTGACATGGGGTCCGGGAGCGGAAAGCTGGGGCCATGAAGGAGGAGATAATGGGGAGCTGGGGACATGAAAGAGAAGAGTGTTTTTTTGGGTTTTTTTTCCTTGTCTAAATTTTGTTTAAAAAAAAAAAAATCTAATTTGCTTCTTCTTGGGGGGGCGGCCTTCATGGATTTTTGCATCGGGGCCCTGAGGTCACTAGTTACGCCACTGCTGTTGTGCCATCTGTTTAAGGTGTATCTGCGCCACCCTCACCAGTTTCTATTTCAAAGTGAGAGACTGGCATGGATTCTGCGCCCAATCAACAAAGGAGAAGATAACTTGTGTCTTTTTTGCAACCTGACTAACTATGTAACTGCTGAAAATCCCCACAAGAGTGGACCTGGCGTATGGGATGTGAACTGTCTGCTGGTCTGAACCTGGGGAGGGACCGGGTAGGCAGGGGCACAGCATAGAAAATGGGGCAGTGCTTGAATTTGTTTCTCTCATGTTAAAAAAAATGGAGCAGATCTCTACTTTGTTAACATGCAGCGGGATCTGCTCCATTTTCTCAGTTTAGAACAGGAGTAGGCAACCTCGGCACTCCAGCTGTTTGCAAACTACAAGTCCCATGAGCATTGCAAGAATCTGACAGCTACGGGTTCCCAGAGACAGAGGCATTATGTGATTTGTAGCTATCTGTTGTGGAACTACAATTCCCATGAGGCATTGCAAGACTGCATATTTCATGTAAATTTCAACCAGTGGGCTGGGAAGTCCTGCAAATTATTTCATGTTCTCTTTAAATTGCTCTGAAATATGTTACCTCGATCGTAAGAATAATCAATTAACATTGCCTTTTCTTAATTCGCCATGCAGGTCCCTGACGAATGAGATTCTAGGACTGAAGATACCGCCAGAACCGGTACTTAATGCCAACACCGTGTGCTTGACGTTACCAGGACTGACCCGGCGCCAGATGGAAGTCTGCATGCGGAACCCCGACGTAGCAGCCTCGGCCATCCAGGGGATCCAGATTGCCATCCATGAGTGCCAGCACCAGTTCAGGGAACACCGCTGGAACTGCTCCAGTCTGGAAACCAAGAACAAGATCCCGTATGAGAGTGCGGTGTTCAGCAGAGGTGAGCATGAGGGTGGAGGGGCTATTCAGGGGCCTTCTTAAGGTTTTTGTTTTAGATATATTTGTGATTGTGAAAGCGTAATGTAAACTAACTCACCAATGTGCGCTAACATTCCGATACGCTTGTTACTATGTATAGTTCAGATTATATATGTACATGGGAGCAGCCGTACTGAAGATCTCTCGCCCCATACAAGTCAATGGGAATGGAAAAGCAACTGAAGCAATGCTGGCCAACTGTACCTGCAATGAATTCTGAATGATCTCAGAAACGTTTCTAACTGATGTCAAACGCACACCGTATTTGCTGCATCAAAGTGTGTCAGCCCAGACCCATGGGCCCATTCACACCATCACATTAGAAAATGCACATGCATTTTTCTCAAAGCACATAATGTGTTGTTTGCGCAGTTGAGTTAATAATGTAACGCAGTGCAAGACTGACAGCTTTATACATTCTAATCGTAACTAGTTTTTATGCACGCTGTGATCCTGCGCTGTAGTGCACATAAGAAACGCGATGGTGTGGCCCAAATTCCTCACATAGGCAGACTCTTCTTACTGACCTCTTTTACATTAGTGGTCAGTGTAAATACCTCTGTTACATTAGTGTTCAGTGTAAATACCTCTGTTACATTGGTGGTCAGTGTAAATATCTCTGTTACATTTTTGGTCAGTGTAAATACCTCTGTTACATTAGTGGCCAGTGTGAATACCTCTGTTACATTGGTGGTCAGTGTAAATACTTATGTTACATTGTTAATCAGTGTAAATACCTCTGTTATATTGGTGGTCACTGTAAATACCTCTGTTACATTAGTGGTCAATGTGAATACCTCTGTTACAATGTTGAGCAGTGTAAATACTTCTGTTACATTGGTGGTCAGTGTAAATACCTCTGTTATATTAGTGGTCAGTGTAAATACCTCTGTTATATTAGTGGTCAGTGTAAATACTTTTGTTACATTGCTGATCAGTGTAAATACTTCTGTTACATTGCTGATCAGTGTAAATACTTCTGTTACATTGGTAGTCAGTGTAAATACCTCTGTTATATTAGTGGTCAGTGTAAATACTTTTGTTACATTGCTGATCAGTGTAAATACTTCTGTTACATTGGTGGTCATTGTAAATACTTCTGTTACATTGGTGATCAGTGTAAATACCTCTGTTACATTGTTGGTCAGTGTAAATACCTCTGTTACATTGGTGATCAGTGTAAATACCTCTGTTACATTAGTGGTCAGTCTGAATACCTCTGTTACATTGTTGATCAGTGTAAATACTTATGTTACATTGGTGGTCAGTGTAAATACCTCTGTTACATTGCTGATCAGTGTAAATACTTATGTTACATTGGTGGTCAGTGTAAATACCTCTGTTACATTGGTGGTCAGTGTAAATACTTCTGTTACATTGTTGATCAGTGTAAATACCTCTGTTACATTGGTGATCAGTGTAAATACCTCTGTTACATTAGTGGTCAGTGTAAATACCTCTTTTACAGGTGTTCAGAATAAATACTTCTATTCAAGTGGTGGTTAGTGTTAATCAGCAGATTTGCAGAGAGGTATTAACACAATTGAATCACTTGGCTGGGTTACCTGACTTTTTCCAACTTTTCAGCAAGGATGCTGAGAGCGCTACCTGAGTGATGCTAGGGGCTAACTATTTTCTCATAGAATTCTAAGCCCAAGTAGCGCTTGGGATGAATGATAAGGAAGTTATAGAAGAACTCTGGGGGGAATCAAAAACATACCCTTGCAGTGACTACCACTGCATTGCAAGGGTTAAGTGCTTCTTTAGTCTACGGGATGCAAATAAAACAGATTTATTCAGCTGATCCTTCATCCCGCGATGCTCAGCGCTCTCCTCTCTCCCTCGCCACTCTTGCTGGCGTCCTCATGTCTAGTGCAAGTCAACGAACCTGCATAAGATGTTATGATGTCAGCAGTTCCTAGGTCTTCCTCCCCCAAGGCTGCTAGACTGGTCCCAGCAGCCTCTTTTGCCCTGGGCTCTGGTGGTCTAAGGACTGCTGACGTCAACAGGTGCATCGACTTGCATTAGACGTGGGGAAGCCGAGGGACATTTTACCAACCAGAGCGGAGGGGGGAGAGCGCTGAAGATCTCTTGCCCCATACAAGTCAATGGGAATGGAAAAGCAACTGAAGCAATGCTGGCCAACTGTACCTGCAATGAATTCTGAATGATCTCAGAAACGTTTCTAACTGATGTCAAACGCACACCGTATTTGCTGCATCAAAGTGTGTCAGCCCAGACCCATGGGCCCATTCACACCATCACATTAGAAAATGCACATGCATTTTTTTTTGCACAGGGCAAAAGCGCTTACCAGTGCAGGACCGAACCCCCAAGACAAAACAAGCACTTAACCCTTGAAGTGCGCGGGGGCTAGCCCCACCGCAAAGGGTACATTTTTTATTTTCCCAGAGTTCCTCTTAAAACAATGTAGAAATTATTTAGGTATGCAGAGTTACAGAGTAAAAAAGTAAATAAAAAAGAGTCTTATCAAATTACCCAAAACGTACCAAAGCTGCTAAATGTGGTCAGGGCATCTACGCCTCAATGACCTCTGTTCATGCCATGAAAGGGTTAAAAGGCAGTCTCACTTTAAATCTGTATTTTATAGTCCACAATTGCATTATATATAATGATAAATCCGAAGTATGTTTCACACCCGAGACCGTCCATGGAAATAGGGTGACCAGGGTCCTCGTGCACGGCCATCTTGTCGGAATTCCTGCGCCACAGACGTGAGTGACTCAGACGAATGACCTGCGGCTCCCCATTCCTGTGCGATGGTTCATCTTCATCCGCAGGCTTTGAAGGGTTCCTGTCTTTACCCCTCTGATCTGACACTGATGTATCTGAGATGTCTGAGAGCAGATAAGAGCCAAGACGCTCAGGTAGTTCCCTTATTTACTCCTT